ATTTATTTATTTATTTTTATTTTATTTTATTTTATTTTTTTTTTTTTTGATTGTATATATTTCTAAATCTAAAATTCGCAGATTTATAAGGTTTCGTGATGTTGAGAAGAATGATGATTTAATAATATACGATTTATATTTCTTAAGTTGTTTTCTACAAGCGCCACCAGGAATAAAAATTAAATTTTAAGGACATTTACTCGGAATCAGAGACAGCGACAAGAAAATACAATCACTTCTTCGGCTTGCTTAATATTGAATAGAAATCTATGAGAGCTTCAGCAGCAGAGCTTGAAGTTTTTAGCCATTCTAGAAGTCTTTACAACACATTAGATATTACCGAAATAAGAACTATAAGAGTCCTGCTCTACTGGCGATTGCACTATCCTTTATTCTTAACAATATAATGCTCGAATATCGAATGTTCTGATGTCTTCTCATGAATACTGAATATCAATTATACAAATTTCAAATGAATATATTTAATACTGACAAAATTCACTTAAAATATTGCAGCTCGTAATTCGATATTCAATCGAAGTTAAGCCATTAATTGACTGTAGAATTTAATTAATGAATGACACATCCACCCACAGAGACACACACAGAAACATACTGCTAAGCTTTGCTTAGCTGGCGACTAATTCGACTGCTATGATACCAAACTCAATTAAGCTGCTCAAGAACCGAATGACAAGCTCACGCACATAAATTAATAATATTTGTTCGCAAATCTCAAAGTCTCAAAAGCGAAATATGACTAGAGCTCGGCATTTGTTTTGTTTGCGTCTACTCGGTTGAAATTTGATTTACATAAAATCAATTAAACAAACATAAGAAATCGCACACACAGAGGGAGAGAGAGAGAGAGTGGGAGAGGGAGGGAGAGAGAGAGAGACACTGTGACAGAGGCTGAATAAACTTTTCAAATGAAATCATGTTATGTAATTAGAGGCCATGAATAATTTTAGCACCTTGTTGTCAGCTATTCAAGCCAAGATTCACGCACATGCCAGCCGATGGAGTGGCTTATGCAAAATAGTTGTCGGACCACGGTGCGAGGCACGGCTTGGCATGGTTCGGGGTGTATATATGTATATATGTATATGTATAAGTGAGTAACATGGAATACCTCGAGCCATTTACATAGTCAAGTTCTGTTTTTCTCAGCCTTTTGCATAATTAATTATGTGGCCAGAATGGCGACGCTTTGTTAAATATGCAAATAACCGAAGCGACAGCTCTAAGAATAGGACACAAGACGAAGGACACACAGCCGCACAGAGGTCACTCACATGCGCTGGTGGGTGCTCCTGCTGCTCCTGCTGCTCGTGCGGGTGCTGCCTTGGCTACCACTGGCAGTGCAGTCTCAATTTAATTAAATTACCCATACGCCACGTGGGTCACAGCTCATATTTTAAATTTCGTTTAAAGTCATGAGAACGGAAAAGCCAAGCAGCTATATTTCGATTGCCGTGTTCAATGCCATGCTGCAAACAAAGGCATCCACAGTTCAAGCACTTCCACACACACACACAGATTCACACTTACACACACACGCACCGAATAAATGCGTGCTGCTATGTAGGCCAAGCTCGGCTGTGTGCCGACTGAGGCAATGAGCGCTTGAGTGACTAAATGACTGTCTGACTGAGTGACAAACCTACTGACTGACTGACTGACTGACTGACTGAGCCAGGCCATTTATTTTTGCCTGCCTCTGTGTGTGTGGCCATGGCCACTGATGTCCCATTCGCAGGCTTTTCAGCCTGCCATTGCTTTAAAATGTTTGCTTGAGCTGCTACACAAAAGAAATGCTTCGACTTTAAATACTTAATACAGGCAAAAACATATTTATGGAACCAACAGACTTAGTCGATTAAATATAGATGTCATATGTATTTAAATATTGACAAAAGAATATAATTTTTGTAAATGGATGCGAAGTTTTCTATCTATAAGCTGTGGTGCTTAGGAATTTATTTTATGATTTTTCTCTACCAAAGGCAACCGTATCTAATGCTAAGAATTTTTATTTACTGTACAAAAGGCAAAAATAAATAAATAAAGACAAAATTAAAGAAAATTGATTTAAAGCCTAAAGTACTTTATTACATTTATTTTGAGCTACATGTTAAAAAAAAAATAACAATAATAATAATTTAATAGTTTAGAAATAGTAACACAATATTGTTATTATCATTTAAATCTAGAAAAATGATAAAGAATA